GATGCTCTGTATTTCCCCTTTCACATCAACGCGGTTCCCGTTCTAGCTCCTCTTGCGCTCTTCTGGTTCGAAACCGGTTTTTATGTTCAGCCCCGTGTTGTTCACACCGCACAGAGCCCGAGTGGTGCTGCGTCATAAAACTGTTTGGGGTTTTCCATCGTTGTGTACAAACTGGACAAAAAGTGGGCTTGTTGTTGTTGTTCAGGATGTTGATCCCGCCCCTGCCTCCGACGTAAGCGTGACGTATGCGGCTCTTGCTTCTAGTCCAGGGGTGCCCAACCAGTCGATCAGTCGACCGGTCGATCGCGAGATGTGTCTAAAAATAGAACAATATTCTGTTGTATCATTAATAACATAATCTTCCTGTGCCAGAATAATGCACTTGAACGCATCAAAGCTTTGTGATTGGCCGGCGTGACCCCATGTGTCGGGGCGTGGCTGGTGGGCAGTGGGCACTGGTTAGCTGACGTTGTCCGTGGCAACAGGAGTGACAGTCCGCACTCACACAGAAGCCAAAAAGCGTGGCTATGTAACAGAGTTAAAATGTGAATACATAATTATAAGTTTGTGAATGTTTCATTCATAATAAGTTGTGAATTTTAAGAGATGAGATCGTTTCATTTAAATACATTGCTTTTAAAATTGTTCTTTGTGACACGAAGAAAACTTCTGTGTAACTTTTGATTCATCATCACTATATAAATTAACTTGCCTTGCCTTGTACAAATACCTCAACCCCGTGTTTTATGAGAGGTGCTTTAGTTCTGCTTTCTGTCTCATGACGTGAATCCAAAAGGAACCGGCCTATCAGGTTCTGCCAGGCGGCTTTCAAGGACACCATGGAGGTTTTATTTGTCATGTAAACAAGTCTGACCGCTTCCTGCTGAGCCAAAACAACAACAACAACAACAGCTGACTGAGGAAATCTGCATTCAATGATAAAGTGAAGCCTGGTTTCTAGTCCGTGTTCCTGCGGAGAGAGCGCTCGGTTCTTCCATAGGAAAATAATATTAAAATGAATGCAAATATAGAGATGTAAAACTGAGTATTTGCCTTTCAGCCTTAAGTTTCTGTTTCCAGTCAACGAGAGAATGAATATGTTGATTATCAGAACCTGAAGAGTCTCCTTGAAGGAGTTTCCTTGAAGGAGTCTCCTTGAAGGAGTCTCCTTGAAGTCTCATTTATTGAAATGTCATGAAGATATCTCTGTCCTGCTGTTTTCAATCAACTGTTGTTTATATCCATGTTAATACTTGTGATTGTTGGGGATTGTTTTAATTATTATATAATATATCCTAATATGATTATTATTTAAACTAATTTAAATAGTTTTGATGTAGAAGTTTGATGTTTTTATTATTTAATTAATTTGTAATTTTCACAAGGTGAATGTCACATGTTAACCTCTGAGTCACTGGACAGACTTTAGAGCCTCAGTTTCAAAATAAGAGCATGAAAAACCCCCTCAGTCTGATTCAAATCATCTCTTTCACTTCTTAGGAACTCTGTTCTGTAACAGGGTGTGTCAGTTTAATGTGTGTGTGTGTGTGTGTGTGTGTGTGTGTGTGTGTGTGTGTGTGTGTGTGTGTGTGTTTAATATGGGTGTGTCTGTCAGTTTAATGTGTGTGTGTGTGTGTTTAATATATGTGTGTCTGTTTAATGTGTGTGTGTGTGTGTCTGTTTAATATATGTGTGTCTGTTTAATGTGTGTGTGTGTGTGTCTGTTTAATGTGTGTGTGTGTGTGTGTGTCTGTGTGTGTGTGTGTGTGTCTGTTTACTGTGTGTGTGTCAGTTTAATGTGTGTGTGTCTGTTTAATATGTGTGTGTCTGTTTAATGTGTGTGTGTGTGTGTGTGTGTGTGTGTGTGTGTTTACTGTGTGTGTGTCAGTTTAATGTGTGTGTGTGTGTTTACTGTGTGTGTGTGTGTCAGTTTAATGTGTGTGTGTGTGTGTGAGTCTGATTCAAATCATCTCTTTCATTTCTTAGGAACTCTGGACTCTGTGTGTGTGTGTGTGTGTGTGTGTGTGTGTGTGTGTGTGTGTGTGTGTGTGTGTGTGTGTGTGTGTGTGTGTGTGTGTGTGTGTGTGTGTGTGTGTGTGTCAGTTTAATGTGTGTGTGTGTGTCAGTTTAATGTGTGTGTGTGTGTGTGTGTGTGTGTGTGTCAGTTTAATGTGTGTGTGTGTGTGTGTGTGTGTGTGTGTGTGTGTGTGTGTGTGTGTGTGTGTGTGTGTGTGTGTGTGTGTGTGTGTGTGTGTGTGTTAACCTCTAAAGTATGAACACCACCCTGTTTGGCATCAGTCCATCTCTTCAGTGTTTCTGTGAAACAGCTCGTTTCAACTTCCTGAAACCCAGCAATGAGCCGCCATCTTTAAAAACACAGAGCCGTCTTCCTCATTTCCTTTCTTCTGTTTGAGCAGAAACTCTAAATAAAACCTTGATTTAGTTTCACCTCCTTCACGGTGAGAGCGGGCTTTAGTTTCACCTCCTTCACGGTGAGAGCGTGCTTTAGTTTCACCTCCTTCACGGTGAGAGCGTGCTTTAGTTTCACCTCCTTCACGGTGAGAGCGTGCTTTAGTTTCACCTCCTTCACGGTGAGAGCGGGCTTTAGTTTCACCTCCTTCACGGTGAGAGCGTGCTTTAGTTTCACCTCCTTCACGGTGAGACTGTGCTTTCATAGTGGGAAGCAGGAGAGGAGGAAGAGATGCTTTACAGTGTATAGAAACTCCTAAAGTCAGAGAGATGAGTCTGGGGTATCTGTGTGCCTCTATCTGAGCGCGCGATGAAACAGGTTGAGACACATATGTTTTGGAAGCACAATTGACTCTCAGCCCTCTCACAAAGTCCTTCTCCGTGCGCAAGCAGACCGATGCACGCGCTCTCTCTCCCTCTCTCCCCCTCGCGTGCGCAGGATAGAGGCTCAACAATAACCCATAGAGCTGCAGATTAAAGCACGAGCAGTTTTAGGGCGGCGGTTTTTCTTGGCTCAGTTTCTCTGTCTCTGCAGAAACATGTCGGTGAGATGAGGTCAAAGTGTTGTTATTGTGAAACAAACTGACACACACACACACACACACACACACACACACACACACACACACACACACACACACACACACACACACACACACAGCTCAGTGTGTGTTTCTGCAGGTTTTGAATGCACATATTTCCCTCCGAACTTCTTTAGGTGCAGCTCATACATCACAGTCAGGTTCCCACGAGCTGAACTATAAGCACTCGTTCCCGCCATCAAGCTTCTCAACACTCACATGTGTATACTTTTAAATGTTGGCCATGAGGTGCAACAGGTTGCCCGTTTGAACAATCACGCGCACACTGACGGATGTGCGTCTGATTGTTCAAACGGTGCATGAGTGTTGATATGTGAATGTATGTGAATGTTTATTATGTGTGTATATGTACATGTATGCGGAACTGCAGGACAGTCCAGAACCCTAACCCTACGGGGACAATAAAGTATATCGTGTCGTTTTACAAATAACATGTAAAACCAGGAAGTTCACGGATCCAGGAGATGTGTGTTTGGAGCTGGATCTGAACGGTTCACTCTCTGTTATCATTAGTTTGAGTCAGAAAGAGGGACTTCATGACTCTTCATGCTGCGATGCATGTTCATACAGAATACACTGGTAGATTCTGACGGGTTTTCAGACCTGAACTCATGCTTTAACCCTGATGATAAAGGTTGATCTGCAGAGCTCTGCTGCCCCCTGCTGCCCCCTGCTGCCCTCTGCTGCCCCCCGCTGCCCCCCGCTGCCCCCCGCTGCCCCCCGCTGCCCCCCGCTGCCCCCTGTTGCCCCTGCTGCCCCCTGCTGCCCCCTGCTGCCCCCTGCTGCCCCCTGCTGCCCCCCGCTGCCCCCCGCTGCCCCCTGCTGCCCCCTGCTGCCCCCTGCTGCCCCCTGCTGCCCCCTGCTGCCCCCTGCTGCTCGGTGAGATACTAACACTACATCTAGTTCTGCCTGACACCATCACACTCTGGACCACTGAGCCAGGTTTGACATGGGAGGGTTATAAAGTGTTTTTCTGTATTCCCCTAAATAAATAATGTTTAAAAACCAGCTGTGGATGATTTTTTTTTAAATCTAAATTTAGTCGAGCACCTTTTCAAGGACTTTTTAGTGCCTACAACAGATAGGAGAAAAGGTAGAAATATTACTAGAAATGTATTTATTTAAGTAAATTATATTATTACATGTATTATAACGTTTAATTTGAGCCTTTTGTTGAACTGTATACAAATATTGTGACGGATTCAAATATATTCCTCTTGAATATAGTGACTGTAACAATTCATATGAAATACATTAAAACTACATTCATCTGATTTGCTCTGATGTAAGCAGAGCAACGCTTCAAATAAGAAAATAGAGAATAAACAAATAAAATGTGATATTTTTATTAGGAAGTAACTGCAAAACAAGAGACATTTAATATGGACATACAGATGTTAACGACTTCCTGTTAGCTCGTATTGTTTTGAACTCAGGACCATAAACCCGTTTAGTCTGGAAAACGGTAAAAGTCTGCATTTTATTATAAAGTTGTGTATATTTGCAGACTGTTGCAAAAACTAAGAAGTTTATAAACATCAGTTTTTAAATCAAAAAGTGGTTTACAAAAACGCCAAAAATAAACACCAACCTCTTCAGCCCCACGGACCCGGTTCCGGGGCCGAAATCGCGTCATTTGCAGGAAACAAGGTCTAAGGAACCTTAATATTTAATAAACTATGAATATTTGATATCCATATAACGGGAAAAACTCATTTAACTGATCTTTTTCATTTTTATTTTCAAAAAAACACACAATGCTAAGTGAGCCTCTGAATTAGCCCCGAGCGAAAAATGCTAACCTATTACTGCACCGAAAATCACTCCTAGCTCCCTTATTACTTATCCTAGCTGCACATCCAACACATCGTTTATGATCGTAAAGACACAGAATCTAACGGTGCCCACCTCAACACTGAAAGATACAAACGCGCGACGTTATCAACAAAAACGTACATCAAAACAAGTGGCGCTAGGTAGCCTAAAACGCTAACATGGCTTACCTTGGTTTTGTCTGGTCTAAACTGGTCTTCAATGGCATTAAAACGATGCTGTAGTTAATCCATAGGTTAATATCCAATGTGTCTGCGTCCCCTTTGAAATGTTCTGATAATCCATCAGCAATAAAACTGCAATTCCGTTTTCAAATATCAGAGCAGGCCATTCCTACGCTCCTACGTAGCTTCATTGAATGTGCGAAGACGTCACCTTTTTTTTTAACATGAGTGTGTGCGGGACGATTTCCCTTCGATTCTATTGGCTCTAACGGCCAGAATTTAACCCTTTTAGAAGACATTTGTTCTGGGAATGTCATTTCCGAGCCTGAGACCTGGAAAACAGGCTTGGGGCTTAAGGGGTTAAATATTTTTTGAGTTTTATTTCTTTTATTTTTTATTCAAGAGAAGCTGATTTGAAACCTGTTGTTGCCCCCCCCCCCACCTGGAAGAAGGAGCCTCGTTCAGCTGAGAGAGAGACTACAGACTGAGAGAGAGACTACAGACGGAGGGGGAGTGGGGAGGGTGTGGTTTGGAATTGGGCCTGAAGATCAGGTCAGAACTGATGCTCCGTGGTGACAGCAGACATGACATCATCGTAGTCATCGTCCAATCCCTGCTCAGCGTGGGTGGGCGGGGTCATCGCCACGGAGACAGACTGGTCCCTTCCTGTTGTCAGAAAGAAAATGTAGAAAACATGTTGAGAGTTGTGGCTGAGATGAAATCCCTTTAGATCAGGGGTTTTCAAAGTGTGGGAAGGTGAGCCTCCCCTCAGAGAACAGAGGTCCAGCAAGAGAGCATGAAGACTGTTTCTCTCGTCTCTGTGTTTGAAGCTATCGCGCTGACTCACTGACTGCACCCATTTGATTGGCTGAGTAGCGTCACCTCCTTAAAACATGAAACAATACCTTTTTAAAACCTTTTTATCTTTATGTTTTAAACATATTGTATAAAACTCCCCCACTACTTGGACTATTCCTTGCACCCCTCTAGAATAAGCCTGAATGGTCTCAACCATATTGCATCAGTAACGTGCACTTGTTGTTTTAACAAGATCGCAGACGCTGGTAGCGATCGGAAAATTGAGTGTTGTTCAGTTTGTGTGTTGTGGAACATGCGTGTGCGTGCACGAACATACCACACACCCAATTCCAATAGCATGTTCAATTCACTGCCCTGGAAGTTAATACAGTTGTTAAAGTTGGAGCAGCCTGAGGACAGCCGCTCTTCCTCGCATGTCAGTCGCCGACACCTTCTTCCAGAGGACAGGCAAATCTAGCTGCAGCACCACCCGTATATTTTCGCACGCCGTGTTCTCAACACAGATTTTTAAAACATTTTTTACATTTTCAACATCGTGGATACATCAGTGTGTTTGCTCCCGGCAACACACTGAACGTCAACTTTGCCTCCTTATTACACTCAGCCTACTTTAGTGGGAACAATGAGTCTGCGTCTTTGAAGCACACAGGAATAAACGCAGATCCTCCTCTGGCTGCAGCCGACCGGCACTCACACAGGTAGGTGGAGGTGAAGGGAGTGAGCACTCTCACAGGTAGGTGAAGGGAGTGAGCACTCTCACAGGTAGGTAGAGGTGAAGGGAGTGAGCACTCTCACAGGTAGGTGAAGGTGAAGGGAGTGAGCACTCTCACAGGTAGGTAGAGGTGAAGGGAGTGAGCACTCTCACAGGTAGGTGGAGGTGAAGGGAATGAGCACTCTCACAGGTAGGTGAAGGGAGTGAGCACTCTCACAGGTAGGTGAAGGTGAAGGGAGTGAGCACTCTCACAGGTAGGTGAAGGGAGTGAGCACTCTCACAGGTAGGTGAAGGTGAAGGGAGTGAGCACTCTCACAGGTAGGTAGAGGTGAAGGGAGTGAGCACTCTCACAGGTAGGTGGAGGTGAAGGGAATGAGCACTCTCACAGGTAGGTGAAGGGAGTGAGCACTCTCACAGGTAGGTGAAGGGAGTGAGCACTCTCACAGGTAGGTGAAGGTGAAGGGAGTGAGCACTCTCACAGGTAGGTAGAGGTGAAGGGAGTGAGCACTCTCACAGGTAGGTGGAGGTGAAGGGAATGAGCACTCTCACAGGTAGGTGAAGGGAGTGAGCACTCTCACAGGTAGGTGGAGGTGAAGGGAGTGAGCACTCTCACAGGTAGGTGGAGGTGAAGGGAATGAGCACTCTCACAGGTAGGTGGAGGTGAAGGGAATGAGCACTCTCACAGGTAGGTGGAGGTGAAGGGAGTGAGCACTCTCACAGGTAGGTGGAGGTGAAGGGAATGAGCACTCTCACAGGTAGGTGAAGGGAGTGAGCACTCTCACAGGTAGGTGAAGGGAGTGAGCACTCTCACAGGTAGGTGAAGGGAGTGAGCACTCTCACAGGTAGGTGAAGGGAGTGAGCACTCTCACAGGTAGGTGGAGGTGAAGGGAGTGAGCACTCTCACAGGTAGGTGAAGGGAATGAGCACTCTCACAGGTAGGTGAAGGGAGTGAGCACTCTCACAGGTAGGTGAAGGGAGTGAGCACTCTCACAGGTAGGTGAAGGGAGTGAGCACTCTCACAGGTAGGTGGAGGTGAAGGGAGTGAGCACTCTCACAGGTAGGTGAAGGGAATGAGCACTCTCACAGGTAGGTGAAGGGAGTGAGCACTCTCACAGGTAGGTGAAGGGAGTGAGCACTCACACAGGTAGGTGGAGGTGAAGGGAATGAGCACTCTCACAGGTAGGTGGAGGTGAAGGGAATGAGCACTCTCACAGGTAGGTGAAGGGAGTGAGCACTCACACAGGTAGGTGGACGTGAAGGGAATGAGCACTCTCACAGGTAGGTGGAGGTGAAGGGAATGAGCACTCTCACAGGTAGGTGGAGGTGAAGGGAGTGAGCACTCTCACAGGTGGAGGTGAAGGGAGTGAGCATTCTCACAGGTAGGTGGAGGTGAAGGGAATTAGCACTCTCACAGGTAGGTGGAGGTGAAGGGAATGAGCACTCTCACAGGTAGGTGGAGGTGAAGGGAGTGAGCACTCTCACAGGTAGGTGGAGGTGAAGGGAGTGAGCACTCTCACAGGTGGGTGGAGGTGAAGGGAATGAGCACTCTCACAGGTAGGTGGAGGTGAAGGGAATGAGCACTCTCACAGGTAGGTGGAGGTGAAGGGAATGAGCACTCTCACAGGTAGGTGGAGGTGAAGGGAGTGAGCATTCTCACAGGCAGGTGGAGGTGAAGGGAGTGAGCACTCACACAGGTAGGTGGGGGTGGGGGAACCCGCTCTCCCCCCCCCGGGGAGGCGCGCCTCACACTTTGAAAAACGCTGCTTTAGATGAACAAGCTGAGAGAAGTTACCTGTGGCCCTCTCTCGATATATAGACACCATGAGGAAAGTGGAGATGCAGTACGGGCAGAAAACCACCAGGTGGCAGATCAGCCTGAACACAAGGTGGAGGGAGGAGGCAGGAGGTGCAGAGGAGGCAGGAGGTGCAGAGGAGGCTGTGGGCGGCTCCATGGAGGTCGTAGGTTTTTCTGCAGAGAGAATCACACCTGGTCAGGTGAACATCTGAAGGAATGAGTCAACCAAAGGAAAGCTCCTCACCTGAGACAGACAGCCGGCTCTCTGGAGACTCTTTACTCTGGACTCTACACTTGTAGAGGCCTTCATCAGACCTGGAGACATGGAGGAGGGTCATGTGACCATCAGACTCAGTCCCAATGAAGACGCCATCTTTGTAGAAATCAGCAGAGGGGGGGTCGGCCATCTTTGTTCTACAGGTCAGAGTGACGTCATCTCCCTCCATCACAGGGAGGGCAGGACTCTGCAGGATCACTGATCCACCTGAACACAGAGACAACATGGCAGGACAAACTGTATTCATGTTCAAATGGAGAAGACGTCACATACAGTGATTCTCATTGCCATTCCTAAACTGTAGCTTATGTTCATGTGACATTACAACCTTTGAATCTGGAGCCAATCAGACGAGGTGTTGATTATTTGATGATTTCCAGGGACTGTATTCTTGTTCATATATCCTTGTGAGGACCATCTGGAGTTTAAGCACTTAAGAGGACACTTTTAGAAAAAGAGCATTTTCTCTCTAAAATAATTATATTTTAGAAATAAATAATATCGTAAACATAGTTTTTTCCCAGTCCCTAAAGTACGAGACTGTACTGAGGAGTGTTTTAGTGGATGATAGTGTGTGTGAGAATGTGTGTGTTGCACCCTGTGGTTAGCACAAGCTAGCAGCTCTGAGGTCGTCCAGCTTCCTCTTTCTGATGAACTTCTTAAAGTGTTTTTAGTATTGATGAGGAAACAGAGAGGCTGATCTTACCAGAGACGGTGATGGTGATGGTGTTACTGGTGGATCCCTCTGTGGACTCACACCAGTACTCTCCACTGTCCCTTGGGTCCATGGGGCTGATGGTACAGGAGGAACCAGCAGGTGTTCCCCAGACTTTACACTCAGTTCTTCTTTCCCTGCTCGTGTTTCTCCTCACAGTCCATCCCTCAGAGGCGTCCTCACATCTCAGAGAGACAGGTTCATCTCTAAACACCTGAGAGCTGCTGGGAGTCACCGTGAGACGAGCTGGAAGATTTATAAAACACTGAAGAAGAAGAAGCCACTGATATGTTCACTGATGAATCTAACATGCAGAGTTCAGTTTGTGAGGACAGAAAAGAGTTCAGTTACTCTGAGAGTGATGCATCAGGTCAACAGAGACTCAGCTCTGAGTTTGTGAGACGGAGAAAGTGTACTGACCCTGGTTAGTGGAGCAGCTCAGCAGGGAGGTGAGGACTGAGGAGAAACCACAGTGTGAGTTTACTGCGACACCCAGGACACTTCAACAGGTCTGTATGCTGCTTTTAGAACACATGAATGTAGTGCAGAGTTAGCACGAGTCAGACTGGATAGAAGTTGAGGAAATACCAGACTTCTCTTTCAGCACTTGAATGCACCACAACAATCATATTAGTGTGCAGTTCCTCCTGAACGTACCAGACAGTAAAGAGAGTTCCATCTCTCCAGACTCTGGATGCTTGTTGTGCAGGTCAGTGACCTCTCAGGTGTGTTTATGATATCTGAACGTCTTCCCTCATGCTAACAGTATAAAGATTGTACTTACAGACGAGGCGTTGAAGACTTGTTGGATCCATTGTACCTCTTTGTGATGTGGCATCAAACTGTTTCTCTGAAAGTAGCTCACACCAGTTTCCTTCCTGTCACCGCTTCCTTCAACCACTCTGAACACCTTTTGAAACACATCTACTAATCCTTCAGGTTATCAGTTGTACTCTTAGCTGCAAGGCTTCTGTGGTTAATACAAATAAAATAGTTTCCACTCAAATTAGACTCAGAGAATACTCTCTCAGTCAGAGTGAACACAACAACACAAGAGGCACAACTCAACATAAAAGCTTTTATTGAAGCAAACTAAGATTCTCTTTATGTTTCTGTTGGATGATAAACGTTAAAGAACTGGTCAGTTGTGTTTTACTGGCATCTTGCACACAGGTGGACCACCTCTGTCTCTTAATTGGCTGCAACATAGGAAATATAGTCTTTTATTTACCATGCACTGCACAAGTTCGCCACTAGATGGCAATATTATTTTGATCAAAACAAAAAACTGTCTCTAACACTTCCTCTTATTAGTTATTGGATTATGAGTCAAACTTAAAAAATAAAACCTGTCCCAGAATAAAGTTCACAGCAGTATGGAGTCACTGATAAACCCGTTCTAGCCCAACACTAACCGCCTTTGCTTTGGCTTAGCGGTGGTGACGTGAAGTCATGTGACCGTGCTGTAGTTCCTTTATAGCCCAACATTAGCCTCCTTTAGCTTAGCGGTGGTGACGTGAAGTCATGTGACCGTGCTGTAGTTCCTTTATAGCCCAACATTAGCCTCCTTTAGCTTAGCGGTGGGGACGTGAAGTCATGTGACCGTGCTGTAGTTCCTTTATAGCCAAACATTAGCCTCCTTTAGCTTAGCGGTGGGGACGTGAAGTCATGTGACCGTGCTGTAGTTCCTTTATAGCCCAACATTAGCCTCCTTTGGCTTAGTGGTGGTGACGTGAAGTCATGTGACCGTGCTGTAGCTCCTTTATAGCCCAACATTAGCCGCCTTTAGCTTAGCGGTGGTGACGTGAAGTCATGTGACCGTGCTGTAGTTCCTTTATAGCCCAACATTAGCCACCTTTAGCTAAGCGGTGGTGACGTGAAGTCATGTGACCGTGCTGTAGTTCCTTTATAGCCCAACATTAGCCTCCTTTAGCTTAGCGGTGGGGACGTGAAGTCATGTGACCGTGCTGTAGTTCCTTTATAGCCCAACATTAGCCTCCTTTAGCTTAGCGGTGGTGACGTGAAGTCATGTGACCGTGCTGTAGTTCCTTTATAGCCCAACATTAGCCTCCTTTAGCTTAGCGGTGGTGACGTGAAGTCATGTGACCGTGCTGTAGTTCCTTTATAGCCCAACATTAGCCTCCTTTAGCTTAGCGGTGGTGACGTGAAGTCATGTGACCGTGCTGTAGTTGTTTTATAGCCCAACATTAGCCACCTTTAGCTTAGCGGTGGTGACGTGAAGTTATGTGACCGTGCTGCAGGGGCGGATCTACCGGGGTGGCATGGGGTGGCAACTGCCACCCTAAATAATAGCCTTGCCCCCCCAGCTGCCACCCCAGTTGGCATCTTTGTTTTGAAAGAAAAGTTGTGGCTCATCGGACATTTATGAGACAAAGTCTCTAATGTCCGAGTGCAAGTGAATGCAGCACAAGATGCACGTCATGTAACCCCTCCCCCGGTCCTGGCGCGAGAGTGGAAATATGATTGGTGGCGAATTCACTTGAACGTGGGGACGGCGCAAAACGAGAAGCATTCGGACCCAAGCACTGAAGCAATGAGGTGCGGTCTACAATGAGAGAAGAGCCTGTCAGTTTGGCTGTACTCAGCATGGAATCAAAACGCACTACAGCTGTTGATCTTAATACGTTTGTGAGGCGTTTTGCTGAACAAAATAGTAATCGCCGCATTCAGCTGTAATAGACAACTTGATGCTCTGCTCACGGATGACTCGATGAGAATAACAAACTGTTAAGATGATGACCTTGTATGCGTGTATATCTTGTTTTCTTTGAGGGGGTCTGCCCCCAAAAAACAGTTTTAAGTCCTGAGAAAGTAAAATAAGACGGTGTGTAAAACTACACTGCCCAGCCAACAGAAAGTAACCACTTTGATTGAACTAGGCCAGCAGGTAAGGACCTTCCACTGGATAATAACTGCAGCGATGTTTATGCTGAATACACGTTTTTTAACCCTAACTGATGCAGTTAGTCACTTCTTTAATGTTTGTTCTTTCTGATGTAAAGTCAAGCTTGTAACTGTTTATCAATAATGATATAATTACTTGTTTTTCAAATTTGAAGGAGGGTGAGCAAGCATCTTGATGAACATTCATCATTAACTCCTCCAAAAAATATAGTTTATTCAATAATAAATGAATATGTGAATCATAACAGTGATTGACAGCTGATAGGAATAATATGATTGTTAATAGTATCATATTCATTCAGACAAACATCGATGAGACAGTTAATTAATGTACTTATTGCAGCAGTCTGCATAGATTGGTACCCCTGCTGGTCTAAGAGTGAAACTCATTCAGTTATTGTTCAGTTAAAATTCATTAAATTACGTCTGCCACCTTGTAAGGCTTTACTGATGTGCCACAATAATATCACCTTTGTGATTGAGTTAAAATATTAATATTGTGGCTTTCCAAGTTAACATTGATTGTAGGGGTGTAACGGTTCACAAACATTTCGGTTCGGTACGTACCTCGGTTTTTAGGTCACGGTTCGGTTCGGTACGTTTTCGGTATAGCAGAAAAAATTATCACAAAACATTAAACATTTTTTAAAGATTATTATTAAACTGTGACTAATGTATTCAAATAAATACAAAATATAATAAAATAAACATTAAGGTGCAGCATGTCGATGAACTGAAATAATCTGTATTTGAACTGTACTGTTCCTGAAAAGCCAGCTTGACATTAGGACTTGCTTGTCATTGTATTTTCATGTTGTTTAAAGAAAGATGAACTTGTCCACATTGCTTGCTGAAAGGGCAGATCTGCTGGCACTAACAATGTCTCTGTGGAGAACACCCTCTCTAGGGACAGAGGTAGCAGATACAGCCAGGTTGCGCTTTGCTAACATCGCAACATAAGGATATTTGGTGTTTGTAATAGCGTTGGTTCGGTCTGAACTCTCTGCGAGTGGTGGAGGCTTACATGCTAGCGGGAGTTGGGTTTGCACTTCAGTCTTTTTTGTTTTGGTACCGGTGATATTCACGTTCGGGTGATGCCTTTTCAAATGAGTGTGAAAGTTTGATGTATTGCCAGCCGCGTAACCAATGTTAGTTGAACAATGCCGACAAACAGCTTTGGTTCGGTCCACCTGTCTTTGTCCTTCATCCTTGTACGTAACTGCGAAACCAAAATGTTCCCAAACCGGAGACTTCAATGATGCTGGAGGATTTTCGAGCTCAACTTCATCTGCGTTCGCCATTTCGACAGTTCCTCAAATTACTGACTACATTTGAACGCATCCCTGTGACCAACTCTCATAGTATGCCTCTCGTCCAATGAAATGACTTGCTCACTCTATGATATATACCTGAGATTACTTCCATAAAGTTGTTCATGTTCTCAATTTTTTACGTTTAACGCTATATTCGTTCGGTACACACGTGTACCGAACCGAAGGGCCCGTACCGAATAATTTCAGTACGTGTACCGTTACACCCCTAATTGATTGATATGATTGCGATTTAAATCAGCATATACTTCTGTCAGGGGATGCCACCCCTCAAAATCTCCTGCCACCCTCTTGCCACCCCAAGAATATTTGTCTAGATCCGCCCCTGCATATATATATATAGGATATATATACAATATATACAAATACACAATATTGGACACAGACTATAAAGGGCACAAAGTTTCATTCACTAATGAAAGTCAAACACATGTTTGTTTCCACTGTTTTATTGTGTGCCTGTCGCGATAAGCAATTCATTGACGTATCGTACGATAAATAAAAATGAACTCGATAAATTTCCATTTACATGAGGATGTGACTAGCAGTTTGAAAGGATGTACTTGAACTATTATTATATATTATCATTATGTCAGTGGTCTAAAATGGTCATACAACGGTGCCGACAATATTATCGTTTATCGCAATAATTTCCGGGAAAATGTATCCAACAAAATTAATTATCGTGAGAGGCCTATACATGAAACACACACACACAAACAAATCTACAGACTTACTCCAAACTGCCAAATATATTAATTAACACACTCTCACTCTCATATACTCTTTGACTGTATTTTGGCCGAGTAGAACAATAAGCAGCAGACTTTTACTTTTTTATCATTTCTACTGGATCTTAGATCTGCGCTTGCGCAATACAGGTCAGCAGTTGATGCTCCAGAGTATTTGTGTTGGGTAATCTATGGTAGGGCTAACCCATACAGTGGTGGGGCTCATGTCAGTATTTGCAATGTAATTACATACACGCTCCCCTTGACAGTGAAACGCCACGCGTGAGGTTTAGATTATTTCCCTGTCTCAATCCAAATGGAACTGTATGAAATAAAAAGGCACATTTGTCTTGTAGTAAATAAAAAGTGCGACCTGGAGCCAATCCTGCAATTTCCCCACAGGTGAAAGAGTTGCCATGCTGAAAACCCAACCCCTGCAGGGGGGTCTGGGGGGATTCTCCCCCAGGAGATTTTTTTTGTTTTAGTTTTGAAATAGGCTACTAACATAAAATACACATTCTAGTATTCTCTTGAGAAGAAAAATAAATAAATCTATTACTACACGACATATTAAAAAAATTAATGCCATTTTACGTTGTTCTGAAAGCTGAACCTGCTGCTCCTCACAGAGAGAAGAGGGAAGAGGCTGTGAATTACTTTACATTGAGGATAAGGGTGGATAGCCCCCAGTGTTCTGTGTGTCAAAATGAAAGACAGCCCACACACCTATCCAGGGACGTGCACAGACATTTGGAGGGGCTATTGCTCTAAACTGGAAAAAGGGCCTCCCCCCGAAAAAATCATAAGACCTTTTTTTAATGTAAAAGTAACCAAATGATTATTACATCAACTAAATTGAACAGTAATTCACATCTCATAACAAAATAAGCTAAGGCGACTACTTGCATTCGGTGACTTAATTTCAAAAATGAAAATCAGGGACATTTTTTGTTTTGCGGTCCATATCTCATTAAAATATCTAATGTTAGGAATTATTAAAGACAAAATGGGGACAATTCTGTTCTAATGTAGTTTGACCATTGTAACTGCTGTGCAGTCCAGACATACTGATAAAATAGGGCCTCTAACCAGGGGTTAAATTGGGCCGGGGCTGTCCGGGGCTCAGCCCCGGCACATAGGACGATGCTCTGACGTCATCGCCCTCGCTCATTTGTCATTTGTTTAAGCCATAATGTCAAAACATCTCTCGTTCTTAATATAGACTTTATTTAGGGTCGATATGTGTTGACTTTAACATTTAAAATAGCAGATCTCTGTGACAGGATATCGTTTTTCTGCTTAGTGAACGTGTGTCTCTGCAGCACCGTGGCTCCTTCGTGAAGAGAGTCTGCAGCGGTGTGTGTGTGTGTGTGTGTGTGTGTGTGTGCAGAGAGTCTGCAGTGGTACCGCCAAACCCCGACCCGTCTTGTAACACGGAGCCCGTTTCCTACACCATCAGGGCCGGTTCTAACCAATTTGCTGCCCTAGGCGAGATTTTAGCTGGCGCCCCCCCCTGCCAGAAAATCGTTCAGTAGAACAAATAAAAGTAA